CGTCCCTGGCCTGAGTCCGTTGTAGCGGTCGAAGTGGATGAAGAACGACTGCCGGTTCTGCGACTTTGCACCCCACCTGAATGGCATACCACATTCAGCATATGCGCGAAATGGGAGCTTTGCATTCGAGTGTCTGTGACCTGCATCCTCTGGGCATCGGAAAGCCATTTGAGGCCTCATAAGCCTCGCGCATAAAGTGACCGCAGTGTTGCTGCTTCTCTTCGGCCGACGCGCCTGAACCAAAAAGTCAGAAAAATGCATTGTTTTTGCTGCCTGTGTCGCGGTCCTACCAGTGCTTACACGCTGGTAGCCGCTGTCCGAGTAGAGTGGATGCAGCCGAGTCAGATCGAGGAAACGCAGCTCAAGTGACATGGAATTTAGAGCCTGCATACACATGAGTGCAATCAACCAATGGTGCTCAAGATTTGTGCATGGCTTGCCTCATTGTATCGTGTTGCAGCGATGTCTGGAAGTAGAGGAGCACGGGCGCTGTCGTGCCGACTTGCATGGATGTGAGGTGCAGCGAGGCTTCCTTCATCGATGGGGGGCTCTCGGCGGTCAGGCTGCCGGCGTACATGAACTGGCAGCCACTGCACTTGGCCCAGCACAAGTTGTACAATCGCTGCGACTCACCATCACTGAGCTCAGGCCTGCAGGCATGCAAAAAAAGGAACCAAAACACTCGTGTGTCTCGCTCGTGTCTCGTCACTCTTTGATGCGGTGCCTTCCTTACAGAACGATTCGAATATTCGAGAATGTCTGTTTGGTTGTGACGAGGATGTTCGGCTTGCTTGGAGGGGAACTCGAGTCGATTTCGAAGAATGTTGAGTTGTAGATGTAGGTGACAGAGTAGAAACCCGACGCATCCCCGATAGTGTGCATGAAACTCACGTAATCCTGCAGAACACAGAGGCAGGGAGGCAAGCACGCTATTGAAAAGCAATGTCTCTTGTCTCGTTTTACGTGTGCTCACAATGGTTGCAAGGTTGTGCACCGTCTTTGTCTCGACGATCCTATGTGTGTTAACCTTGTTTGCATCTGACGGCAACAGAGACACTCCCGTTGTGTGCCTGCAGAAAGAAAGGGGCGCTCACCGTCTGACGCATAAGTCGCCTGTATCTCGACAGGGACAACCGATGGAGTCTTGATGGAGCCGTCGCACTGCTCGTCCGTCAGGTCTGTGCACTTGACCTCAGTCACCATCGGATCAGAGCAATCCGTGTCATAAGATGGCGTAGCGCGAAGAAGATTGCCTACGCAGATACACATGCACACGTCGGTATGTTCTATTCACCTTGTGCCCCTCCTTACTTGTGCTGTCGAGCTTTTGGCCCCGCAGCGTGATCTCAAACTCCTGTTCGAACGACACTGTGAAAGTGTTCAGTGCCGGCACAGGGCCACCAACTACAAAGCTGCCTACACACGACAATATGCATATTATCCCTCGGACAGCGGAGGGCGACAGAAAGACAGCTGATCCTTTTACCTGCGTCTGTCTTGTAGTCGACGTAGGTATCACAGGTCTGTCCCGCAAGCACGTCGGAGTTCATAGTACAGTAGCAGAGGCGATAGACCCCAGGTGTGGCAGCTAACGTGTTGTTCGTGTCTCCCCATGCATAGTCCTGTCCACTGTTTGTTGCATTCTCGCTCAGCCCTCCATTCACAAAACCGGTGACTGCCCCGCCTGTCGGCACTCCACAGCTGTGCATGACGGCCATGCGATCAAGGTTTGCCAGCTCGTAGCCGCTCACACCCGTGACTTCGCACCTCTCGCCAATATGACACGTGTAAAAGCCCTCGGTTGGGCCTCCGACAGTCAGCTGACCGGCAGCAGCCGTGAAGAGAGACGGGAAGGAAGTGACACAGGTGTACAGTGAGCCCGGACAGAAGCACATCTGGTAGGTATTGGGTGTGGTGACGATCGAGCCGACATCAAAGACCCCGGTCGAGCCCGATGCGAGGCCTTGGAAAGAGAAGACCATGATTAACGGGTTTATCTGGCTGGCGGTCGCTGCCTGAGTGAGCCCCGGGTTGCCGGTCTCGACCCCAAAACCCTCCACTGGCGGCTGGACACCGCACGGCTGGCCACCACCGCTCATGATATAGATGCGATCCGCGGCAGCGATTCCGTGGTTCATGTTCTGGTTGATTTGGTGGAGGTTGGAGATGTCGTTGGTCAGTTGCACTTCACAGGGATGCGAATGGAAGCATTTCTCGGAGTTGGCGGTCCAGGGGCCGTAGACGCTGGCCACCGCTGTGGTGGTGTTGACGTTCAGTTACCGGTCCAAGTCAGAGCACCCTGAGGTGCCTCCGCCATCCTGAATGAAAGAGACGATGCATTCATGCCCTCTCTCTTTGGCCACATTTTCCATTCATTCTTATCCCTACGTAGTCGCAATAGCAAACGCCAAATCTCCCAGGCACTGTCATTTGGATGGGGCCGCAGATGAGGCTCCTGGCAGCATTGTTTGCGTCCGCCGCGCAGTACAGAGAACTCCACGTAGGCACCATGAATTCGTTTTCCATCTGAACCTTATTCGCAGTGCAGTCAGCATAGCTGGCACAACAGCCTGCACACCATATAGATAAGGCGCGTGTCCATCTTTAGCCATGTGATTCGCTCACTCAGGTACCATCTTTCGAGAGCAGAAGGCGGTCCTCGGCAGCGAAATCCGAGGGACTCTGCACCGTGAGATTGAGATAGAAGGGCTGCATGCTGTGGGCCTGAAAGGCGTCTCCGCCGGAGAGGCTGCTGGCATTGACAAAGGTCGTAACATTGACAACTGAACACCACACACCCACGATGTATCATTCCACTTCTCATTGGTGTGGGTGTCTCTCACAATCGGTCAGAGCAACAATCCCGAGGGAGCGAGGCAGAGCGCTGCCACCTCCCCTTTCACTGGCGATGTCGTAGCACACACAACCGACGCAAAAAGAGCGAACACGGATACCCTGTACACTGCCTGCATCGTCGGCGGACGCTGCCAACGAAGGGAAGTCTGTGCGCTAATCAAATGGCCTCACGGCCTGCCTGAGTCCGGGAGACCGACCAATGGAAGATCAGGTTGCGGAAGACGTGCGCCACTGCTAGGGGCATTCGGTGAAACGTCAATGAAACGTACTGCGCGTCAATACTGCGCGTCAAGGGCATTCTCTTTGCATCTTCCGACGCATCCAGATCACCACAGAACGATGCGCAACCACATTGCCGAGGGAAGCCCCGCCAACCACGTGGAGAGGCGTCAGAATGGGCTGCCATCCTGCGCCATCGAAGGAGGCGCACCTCGCGCGATGAGCCGCAGCATCAGTGCGTCGGATCAAGACTCAGAAGATACGCTGGACGATGATTCACTCAAGTGGCGGAGGTCAGCACCCGGCACAGCACAAGTGGAAGAAAGGCAGTCAGTCAATCTTCTTTATGTATCCATTTTAGAGAGCTGGAGACCACGGTGGAGCGTCACACGCGGCGGATGGAGTACAACAACCGAATGGCTGAATTGATCATCACCTTCTTCACCCTGTTCATTCTCATCGAGCTCAACAACATCCCCCGCGAGTGTGAGCTGGAGCAGTGCCTCAACGAGTACCTGACGGCAGGAGGGGAGTCTGACTACGACTTCTTCATGACCGATTGTTCGGTCCTGCGCCAGCAGTGCACACACGGGCCGGTGGGGAGGCTGATGAAGAAGGGGGGCTCGTTCCGCAAATGGGCTGACCTGCCCCACAACACCTCCGCCATCGTGGGAGCCTACAGCCTGGTCGCTGACTTCTGCGTCTGTCTGCTGCGGCAGCACCCTGGCGACTTTCTGTGCGACTTCGAGATATCCACCTGCTTCCAATTCATCTTGGGGCTCTTCTTCCTCTACTGGCTGGAGGTGAGCAACACAGAATGAATGGTCAACAACCCTGATTCAATACGCTCGTCATGGGTGTGTCTGCTCCCCTTATCTAGGTGCGTTGCCGGCCCCCCGATGTGTTTCTGTTGGTCGAGACCCAGGTGCGGTCGATGGAGCTGCGCGCAGCTGGAAGCGCCATCGACATGAAGATACGGGGAGGCGGCAGGCCACGAGGCAACATCTTCTCCCGCCTCAACCACTGCCTCGGCGATCGCAAGGTGGTCATGGTGCTCTTCGGCTGCTATTTCCTCTTCTGGCTGCTCTTCTATCGCTTCTTCTCCGGCTGCTACTCGACTGGGCTAACGGAGAAACAGTACATCATCTCGACTATCTGTGGCTGCGGCGTGGCGGCGACCTTCTTCATGGTGCTGCTCGAGGCGTACGGGGAGTGGGCCATCCAGCGGATGGCAAGAAACAAGCCGAGAGGCAAGACGGCGGAGCAGAGGGGCAAGCAGCCGAACGTCATGTTTCCTGCTATCCAGGCGGGAGAGCAGAAGCTGCCGCCAATGACAGCCCCCAGCTCCTCGCTGCCCGCGATCTTGCCCCGGTCTGCGCCGAGCATGGCGTTTCAATCTCCCATGACCGACACGTCGCATTCAGTCTTCCAGCCGTCAGCGGCCGCGCCCTACACCATCAACGTGGAGCGGCCCGTGGGAGAGGTGGCGCGTGCCGACTCGCTCGAGGAGGACCCTTTCTCACTCGATGCGTCACTGCCCAACCTGCAGTGGATGTCGGGGTGGCAGAGCAGACGGGGCAACAACCAGGACAACGGGCGGGAGAGGGGGCGGTCTAACAGACAGTGAGCAGATGAGTCTGTCTGTCTGTTGTAGATATCTGTCTTGGTGTGTATATGTTTTGCCTTTTCCCTCTTCTGAGGACTGAGCGAGGGAGGTGCATTCATTCATTTTCTTTTTTAAAACGGATCGATGGCCTTCATACACTCACTCATGGTGGTGATGCGCCTTCACGAGACACGACTCGTGTTCGAACCACGTTCAACGTGTATACGTCTTATGGACGAATGGCGGTCCTCTAGCTGACCAAACTACGTGATCTCTTCCCACCTTCCACCTCTGCACCCTGCCCACCCTCACTGGCATCCCGCCATCTTTGTGCCATCCCACTTCTTGACCAACACAGCGAGGCGCGGGAGACGTTTGTGCTCTTGGTGCTCCATAGCGTGGCATCAGTGGGAGAGGCGGCGACTCAGCCAGCGTGTGTTGACGCTTCCTTGGCTGGTTTCTCATTGCGGCCCGCAGATCCTCGCTCTTCGGGCAGATCGGCTCTTCGTCTAGCGGTGATAATGAAGGCAGGTCGGGGGGCGCCTTCCTGTGCGGCAATGGCGGTGGGGCTGTCTTTTGTGCTCCTTTTGTAGCAGCCATCGCTGGCTCACACCTGCCAGAACAGACACACAGGCCAGGGTCCTTGTTGTGATTTGGTGCCGTCGATCGTGTGTGTGTCTCACCTTCGCAGCAGCCAGTAGATATCCCATGAACGTTCAATGCACCGCTCTCTGCGGCAGCCCGGACACACGGGCACTTCATGCGGCGGAGTCGACTCGACAGAATCGTTCGCCTCAGCCGCAAAGCCAATCGCTTCGCCTTCTTCATCAGCAACAAAGATGAAGAAGGGGCGCGGAGCAGAGGGCGCAAAGTTTGGAAGGCCAATCCCGCCCTCGAAGATCTTCTCCATGTTGCGCAGGGCCTCCTGCAATGACGGATAACGACAAGACGATGCTACATCACCTGCTGACAAGGGGGCACTGCTCACTTTGATCTCATCTCTTGTGGGCATGTTTTCGAAGAGGGGGCTGATCCTTGCAAAGGCCACGACAACAGAGAGGAAGGAGACACATGTCAGGAGCAGGGCGCTGAGCATTCCGCTGAAGACGGGGAGACTGGAGACTGGGGGGTAAGGGAGGGCCCCCCACCCAAAGACTCGGCAAGCATATGGCGGAGGGTATTTGAAGACACACATGCAAGCCACCACTGGCTTTAGTTCTGTGCTTCAAATTAAGACTTCATCTTATGTCTGTTCCCTGACTCCCCTCTTACGTGTGGCATTGCAGATGCTGCTGCCGGCGACCCTGCAAAAGAGGGCAAGAAACAGGAGCAAGGGGTGTGCACCACCTGCTTCTTCGCCACACTCGACTTCTTTGCAGTCAGCCGCACTGCAAAAGACCCACACGGGCACTTAGTGGCCTGCCACGCACTGCTGTGTGTGCTCGTGTCTCAGACAGTGGGGAAAGGAATCGTCGCCACGTATAGAGCGTACGTATACGCTGACCTACTTACATGCACCTCTTAATTACCCACGTCGGCTCGCGTTTGGTTTGGTTTGATTTGGTTTGTGGTGCCTTGTAGGACGTCCTACTGCGTTAAGGAAACTGTTTATCCGATAAAGGAGACAGTGGTGTCCATCTTTGACCGCATGGAGAACAAGTGAGCCCTGCCTGCCACAGTTAGTGTGTCTGCTCATCTCCTTTGTCTCCTTGTTGTCTGTCGCGTTGGTGCAGGTATAGGCCTTACAAGGCTAAAGTGCCTTACGTGCACGTGACTGACTTCGAGTACTGACTGACTTGCTGTGCTGACCCACTTACTTTGGACATCAGTGACTTCCCACTTGCAAGTCAAAGCGCTCACTGAATGGTGTACTGAGCTCGAGCATATCTGAGAAGACAAAGACGATGTCTGGAACGCCTTCGTCTTCCCAGATGCCCACGTGCACAGCAATACGTCCAGCAGCCTGTCTGCCTGTCTGACTGTCTGTCTGTCTGTCTGCCTGTACACACACACACACACGTATGTATGCATATCCACAGCGCCCATCAGACACCTCTGCAGCAGCAGCAGCAGCAGCAGCTTCCATTCTGGAAAGAACGTCAAAATCGCATCAAGCGCTGAACGAATGGGACAAAGGACAGCTCAAAATCGCCTAAACCTACCCGTCACGTCAAGGAAGGCCTCACTACAGCCTAGCTCTGATCTTCCCTCCCTCCTGAAAAAAACCAACCGACGGTTGTCGGCCGCTCACCGACATGGCGGCCACACCCCCATTGATGGCCTGGCCTTCGCCAATCCCCTCGGACAATCGTGTCTGTAGGACAGCCGTGTGCTGCTCCTGATGGTGCTGCGGCAAAGAGGAGGACACAAGGTCAACAAGGGAACTCATGCCATACGCAGGGGGCGCCGCCTGACACAGGCACCGCACACAAAGAATGAGGGTCCATGGGCTGCACCCCTTGTGTCGCTTTCTTTGTCTGTCTGTCTGTCTATCTGTCTCACTCACTGTATCTTTGACGGTGGCGGGGTTGAGTTTGTGGCCGAGGATGAACTGCTTGCCCATCCACTTCTGGTGCCACTCGATCATCGCGTCCACGGCAGGCGTCGACACACCCAGCATCTCCGCTATGCCCTTCAACACACACAGACCTGCGCAGCGCAGCGCACCGCACGGCGATCCATCCAGCCAGCCAGCCATGTGGTGTGTGGCATGCACGATGCGTGTGTGGTCGTACCTACCGTAGGGAATGTCCTCCCAGAAGAGACGCGAGTCGACGTCAGGGAGGTACCCCAACACCTTGCCGGCACCATCTGCAAACCCAACAAACGGCAGGCACCACACGCCAGCCATCCCATCCTTGTGTGTCATGGTCATGGTATGTGTTGTATTATATAATAGCTTGGATGATCGTCTCGTTCCTTTAAAGGTCTCACCCACCCCACCTTGCTCACCGTGGAGGCATTTGGTGGGCGTGACGCATCCTTGGTAGCCTCGATTGGACACGAAGATCATCTTCAGGCTGGATCGATCGGACACGTCAGATCCTGATCCGCACACACCAAACCAAGCAGTGCAGTCCCAGAACACTTACATCAACTCGTCCACGCCACGCACTTGTTTGCTGACCATACCATATTGCCTGATGACGCGCTCCCCCAGCGGCAGCACAAGGGAGAGGTCGAGTGCGGGGAAGTGACCCAACAGCCGATGCTTCACCGCCTGAAGCTCCTGTAAGTCAACAGGGGGGGAAAAAAGAACTAGTGAGGGCATCCGTCTGTTCCGTGTGTGTGTGTGTGGCTGGGTGGGGTGCTCACTTGGTCGAGTCTGTCAAGCCACATGGCCGACAGGTCGTCCATGTCGCTGTAAAGCCCCCAGGGTATCTCATCACGGCCGTACACGCGACGGCCGTCCCACTCATTGAAGATGCCGTAGTACCTAGAAGACCACACAGAAACACACACACACACACACAGACCAGGAGAGAGAGAGCGGGGTCACTCTTGCCGTGTGGGGGCATGCCGGTGGGTGGGGGGGTTGCTACCGTGCCGGGTGGATGATTTGGTTGGACGGTGTGAGCGTCAATGTCAAGAAGTTGGGCACCGTTCCTGAACACACACAAAGAGGCCTCCCCCACTTAAATGAACGTGTGTGTGGTGCCAGCCCACCCGTGGGAATGTCGAACAGCAGTGACATCAGGCAGGCCACCGTCCGGCTCTTCTCCACAGGACACGACGCTACCCACAGGTTCTTCTTCGGACCCAAAATGCGCGCCTCGCGACCATACACCGTTTTCTTGCATATCTGTCATCAAACACGGATATGGCGTGGTGATCGTCCCCATTTGCCTTCTTCCCCTAGCCCACCGACCGACCCACCGACCCAAGGAATGTTCTGCAGTCCAAACAGCGCCTCCACTCTGGTGAGGTCGCCGATGGCCGCCCGAGCGGCCCAGTCGAAGCCGCCCTGCGCATACAGCGCCCCAAGGAGAGTCCTCCTGGTGCGGCTGATGTGGGGTGCGATCTTGTGCAGGATGGGGGGATGGGTGTGCGCGGGTGCAGCCACGATGACCAGATCAGAGTCGGGAATGACAGCGCTTGGGTCGTCTGTCACCCTGACGAACGAACGAACGGATTGGCACAGATGTGCTGCAGGTCATCACATCTGTGGTTACGTGTGCAGTGTGCCGTTGATGGTTCCTTTGCTCTCCTGCAGATGAAGACAATAAATACCAACACAGAAAGCCCAGCCCCATGTAGCAATGAGCATCGGGTGACTTGTTGACTTGTTGTGGATGGATGGGAAGCTAGCTGACTGACCCAGCTGGACCCCTTGGTGACGATCTTGATAGAGCGGCTCCACTCATCCGGTCGCCGAGTCAACACATTCACCTTCAACGCTGATGGACGCACACCACCAACAACACAGACAGCGATGCCATCCATCATCCTCTGTTGTCGTGATTCCTTACCTGGTTTGGAAGCCAGGTACCCCGCCGCCACGTGCGCCCCGTTGCCCCCGCCGCACACAGTGACGGTCAGCGAGGCGGGCAGCACATCCATACTGTCCATATCATGATGTCGATGACTCATGTTCCCGGCGGCGTGCAGAACAGGCAGGTAGAGTAGATGATCATCAACCAGTCAATCAGTCAATCAGTCAAACAATCAGACTGCAGTAGGCATGACAGTGAGTGTCATGAGGGCCAGCGTGACGTCTGCGGCACGAAGATCTTCACGTCAATACATCGGGCATGGACCTGCAACACAACACAGCCACCCGAGCAGCAAAGCAAAAGAAGAGAGAGAAGGGAGATAACCTGTGCACTGCACTCATCGTTGCTCATTGAAGCTCTCTCATCTGCTTTGCTTGCCATGTCCAGATTTGGTCTGCAGGTGGAGAGCGCCGTACACCATCCTGACGGAGGCCACGAAGCAAGCAACTTGAAAGATCTGACAGGAAACCGACTTCTGCCTGCTACTGCAAAGCAGCTGCGCCCCTTTGAAAGCGGAGAAGCGGCTCGCTGCGGGCTTTGCGAGCTTAGTAAGGGACGGACGGAAATCTTACCCTTAACCACCACCACCCGAAGTGCGGGATAGCAGCTGGCAGCCTGTGTGACCAGGATCTTCGGTTGGGTTCAGCCAGTCGTCATCATCATCTTGGTTCCTCGTGATGCTTGAGTTGATTGGCGGATGTGAGACCATCGACGGCGACTTGGATGCGTCGATTCAGCGACTCATGAGCGCCAAATCGGTGTTAACGGATGGGACCTCGCGGCTCGTTGCTGAGAGAGGCGGCGTGTCGCATCCCCTGGAGACCACCGGAGAGATGCTCGTCAACGCAGATGTGCAGGGCTGGGCAGGGGAGGGAGGGAGGGAAGAGGAGAATGAGAGTCGTGATGTGACTGTCTGTGTTGGTCTGTCGTGTGTGTATCGTCTGGCTGATCAGGCGGCGTGGTGTTCCCGGTGTCCCGCCGTGCGCTCCTCCTTCCCTTGATGCGCAAGCGGTACATCTCGGTCCTGCTGATGCACTTCTCTGACGGCCTCCCGCGAGATCCTGATGGCCATGTCTATCTGGAGGCCTCACCGGCATACTTTGAGGCCTTTCTGGACGAGCTGACACTCCACGAGACCCACCGCACCGGCACTGTCGACCTGCCGCCCTCCAAGGTGGCTGACCCGACTTACAGCGAGTACCACTCCCTGTTCATGCGAGAGCTGCAGTCCTTCTCAGCTCCGACACACATCCGCCGCGGTGCCGCCACGACCAAGGCGGTCGATGGCGCATGTGACGAGAAGGCCATCGCGGATGTCATCCAGACGTCGCTGAGCGATCTGGAGAAGGTCATGAAGAGGCTGACGTGCCGCAGGGAGGAAGTGGTCAAATTCCTCTCGGCAATGGAGCCGTTTATGAAGGGCCAGGATGACGCCAGAGGTGACAGCGCGGTGCTGAGCTTGGAGGTGCTGGGTCGGAAGGTGAGCTGCATGAAGCGGACGCTGCAGCGACTTGGCAATGACCATCCCCTGCTAACGCGATTCTCAAAGTGAGTGAGCACATTCACAAACGACAGACGGAGAGCGACAACGCAGGTCACATCTGTGTATGTGTGTGGTTGCGCAGCACTCCGCCCTGCTGGGGTGACCGTCGAGTGCGTCAGACCCCCACCAAGCACTTCGTCAACACAGTCGACTTCGCCCGGCGCCGGATGACGATGCCCAAGGGGCAGCTCATCCGGCCCCCGCTGATGGACGAGGCCGAGCGTGAGCTGTTTCGAGAGGACTTGACAATGTATGGTCTGACTTACTCGCCCATCCTGGACCTGCCGGCCGGCCACGAGTGGGTCATCAAGTCGGCAGAGGAGTGGGTGAGCCTGCTGGACATGATCAAGAAGCCCACGTGCAGACCATCGCTGCTCTTCAAGTAAGCCGGCCACTCACGAATGGCTGTGCGTCCCGTCCGTGCATGTGGATGCACGTGTGTGTATATGTGTGTGGATCAGGTCTAGCCGTGATGGGAGTGCCTATGCCACGATGCTCCAGTGTGTGGCGGGCAAGAGCGGTCTGCTCTTCGCCCTCCGAGATGGTGACACGCACCGATGCGGCTGCTTCCTCGGTGGCGAGATCACACCGCCGGCCGACCCCAAACAGACCACCCGCTACAGGGTGCCCTTCTTCTTCTACTCGCTGTCGGGCGCGTACGAGACGGTGACCAAGATCGAGCTGCCAGAGGAGAAGCAGAACGTGGAGGTGGCCGGCACACAGGGGGCGGTCAAGGACACCAAGGACGAGCCACGTGGGAATGTGGCCTTCGCCAGCGGCTGCCTGTGGCTTGGATTCGACACGCCTGGTCCTGCGGCCGACCTCAGCAGCTGCCACCTGTGGATCAAGAGGGATCAGTTGCCGGAAGGGTACACCGGGGTGTACACTCAGCACGGCGACGGCTCATTGGCGCAGACCATGAACTTCACGTGTGATGAGATGGAGATCTATCATATGGAGCCCACCACATATGGGTGGCGGCCAGGGAAGCCAAGGAGCTTCATGGATTGGTTGTTCGGCGGAATGTGCAGACATACACAGAACAGAGATATCGACAGATAGAGGGTATAGCGCAGCGAGGTGGAGCAAGTAGGTGTGATTTTGGCTGTCTCAGCTCTTGGTTGGTCGGGTGGCTTCTGCTACATGTGGCCATGGAATGAGTAGCACAGCTGAGGTGGCATGCGTCTTTGGTATACAGCACCCGTGTCTGGGTCTGCAAAAGTGAGCATTGATTGTGTTGTCTATCTATCTGGAATGAATGAGAACGAGCGAGTTCTAGACGAGGTGAGGGTTGCCCGGCTAGCTAAGCGTGACTTTTGTCTGTTGGATTTGCCGTCATCTATTCTACCCATCCACCACACGAACAGAGACACCGATAAAACCTTGCTGCATTTCACGAACCATACCATCGACAACGGCAGCGAGCCAGCGAGCCGTCCTAGTCTGCCTTGCTCGTCGCCTCAGCAGTGCTGGTCCGCGTGGCTGCATCAGGCACCCCATTCGTCGCACCCCGCCCCCGCTCACACCGCATCACCCGCCGCACCCACAATCGCAGCGCTGCAATTTTGGACATCTTTCCGGATAACGCACTCCTGTCGCCTTCATCCCTGTCCTTGGTCTCATCGTCGGCTGACCGCGGCCTGTCAGTCAGCGGAGAGAGAGAGAGAGAGAGAGTTGGTTAGTTTGGACACGCACGTGTGTGTCTATGCGTGTGTGGGTGTGGGTGTGCGCAGCTGACTTGATGGCGGTCATTCTGAATACGGCGCCAAAGAAAAGTGTCAGCACGGTGGATGACAGGGCGATCACATTGAACGGCATACCTGCAGTGCACCACAACACAACACAACACACGTCGATGTGTGTGTGTGTGTCTGGATTGTCTTACTGAAGTCCGGCAGCGGCACCATGATGACCATTCCCTCGGTGAAGTGGCCCAGCCACCGGTCGTCGGCCGACGAAGGCGGCCCACTCCTGTTGGCTGCCGGCATGTCCAGGTCATACAGATCGACCGATGCAGGCGGCCACGTGAAGTGACTCAACGGCTGCACACACAACACACATGGCATGGCATGGCGGCTGATGGGTTCGGGTGAGGGTCCACGAGTGTGATGTGTGGGTGCGGTGGTACCTTCTGCATGAAGAGTGCGCTTCCGACGTCCTGTCCCTTGTCGGGCGAGAAGCCGAATTGCCCGATGTGAAGAAAGCGCTTGCCCAGCTCAAAGCTGCACACACACGCACACACAAATGACCAGGAAGCCGTGACGGATGAGAGCGGAGGCTTTTATGGACATGCACCTGATGGTGAGAATGCTGCTGGCGGGCAGCGTCGTATTGAACGAGAAAACGGATGGCGCGCTCCTGCCGTCGGTGAAGCGCCAGTCTATCCCCAGTGTGCTGAAGCTCTTGTCGGCCCCATGAGACACACTCACCATCTTCTACACACACACACACACACACACACATTCACAGACACACACAGGGCCGTCCTCCCTCCCACAGCCACCTCACCTGTCCACGTTTGTCGAAGATGTCCAGCTGCGATGTGAGTGTGTGGACGAGTGGGTTGAGGTAGAAGGGCAAAGTGTCCTGGTACACCACATGCTTGATCGTCGACGGCGCGGAGTTGTGCAGGTGCACAACCATCGACCCTACACACGCACACACGCACACACGCACACACACGAATGACACTCTCATGTCGGCTGGCTGGCTGGCTGCATGCCGACTATGTGACCTTGGAGCCTCTCAGGTCTCTTGGTCAGCAGGCTCCCTATCTGCTGCCGATCCACCCAGGCATCCCGCCTCTCGTTCCCCAACCGAACTATGGGCGCCGATTGCAGAAGTGCCGCCGGCAAGCGAAACTCCTCTGCTCGCCATGTGCCCAAATGCGTCGCATCTGACAGCCTGACACCATTAATGGTGGACAGGAATGTGAATGTGTGTGTAGCTAATGTGTGTGTATCTCTTTCTCTTTTGCGGCGTCACCTTGAGTGCGTATAAGTCGCCGGCAGGTCTGTGCCGAGGAGGCTGTGGTCAGGGGGCAGCCGCATGTGCACCCAGGAGCCGAGTGCAGGGGGGCAGGCCTCCATGCGACGCGGCCCACCCGGCCGCAGCAAGGACTCGACCGACATCCTGCCTGCCACACCACACCACACCACACACGCCCCGCCATCTCATCAGCAACACAACATCATCGCCTAGTCGTTCTTTCTCCCTCCCTCCCTCCCTCCCTCCCTCACCCTCTTTCTTTACCTGATGTCTGCCGGCCTTGTGCGAGCTGTTCGTACCCCAGGACGGCTGTGAGGGTCAAGGCCAGCTCGACGTGATGTGGCGAGGTGGGGTTGGGGGAGGGCACCTCGGCCGCATGAATGGCCAAAGACTTGAACGGCGACTCGGCCAACAGCAAGGGGTCGAGGAGCGACGCTAAACCGCTCTGCAGCACACCACACCACCCCACACCACACCACCATAGCAGACAGATGCCGCCGGCCGGTCTCTCTGTGTGTGTCATTCAATTGTGTCACCCACCTGTCCTCTGCACGGGAGCAGTTTGAGCCATGGTGTGAGGTTCTCGGTGCACAGCGGCTCTATCGGCATCGAAGCGTACCGCACCTCGTGAGTGTCACTGCCGCTGCTGCCGGGCATCTGAGTGCGAGTGTGTGCCCCCATCACCGCTGCACTCGGTAGCGGCCATCCGTGTGGCAGGGGGGTCGTGTGCCTGCTGACGTCCTCTACCGCCCCGAATGTCGCACAGAGAAGCCCTCCCAAAGCGTGAACCAGATGACGCCAACCCCTGCACACACACACACATCCCCGCACACACATGGGTACCGGACAGCACAGCTCATTCAGGTGCTGCAGCACCCATTCCTTGACCTGTGCAAGTGTGCCTTCTCCATGTTGGCGACGAGCAGGCCGCCGGGCGGCGTCACCTCCACCGGCGGGTCGCCCCACTGGTGGTGCTTCCATCGGCCCTGGGTGAGCGAGGCCGTGAACCCTGCCGTCGGGATGTGCGTGAAGATCCGGCCGATGCTCTTGGGAAAGATGTCATATAAACCATCTGCAGATCAGAAGCAGAGAGAAATGCAGCCATTCAGGGGAGATGGTCTGTTCGCATGGTGTGTGTGTGTGTGTTCTTGCCCTTTTGGATGGATCCCGTGAGGCGAAAGTCGAAGTGCGCGAGCAGCTTGCTGTCGCTGAGGAACTGCACAAGCACGTGCTCCGAGAACAGATCCCCCGATGCCGCAGCTGCAGCAGCCGCCCCTACTACCAAATCCACCAATGCCCAGGCCACCAGAATCATCACGCCTCTCAGCAGTACTTCAACAACGCCCGTCAATGCCTTCCGCGCCCTCATCTCGGCAGATGCCGCTGACCAACTTGCTTCTACTTCATCAGTGTCTGTCACAGAATGCACGAAAAGCCGTCAGATCTGCGCAGTGGTGCGAGCTTCTGAGGGCGAATGGGGACTTCAGAAATGACAAGCTGTGGGGGGCTTCTGTGAGGCTGAAGAGACTGCCCTTCGTCGAAAACAAGCCTCTCTCCATCCGTTCGATCGACATCTTTGACGGAGCTGCTGAGCGAGGTGGGCAGCGTGGAGGATGAGCAGCATAGAGCGGTGGGAGTCGCCCGACACCAAACATGCCGACATAGAAGAGGTCGGCGCATCGGACAGCAGAGAGTCAAGCAAACACATGAGTGTGTCTGGCAATGTGTGTGTTGGCTGCAGATCTTATACTCGCAGGATGTGTTGAAGAAGCGCATAGCGGAGCTGGGCCGCGAGTTATCAGAGGCCTATGAGGGGCAGCTGCCCCTCTTCGCGGGCGTCCTCACCGGCGCATTTGTGTTCTTCGGGTCAGCTCAGACCAGACAGAACATCGATGGACCACCCGCCACACGTGGGTCTGTGTGTCTGTGTGTTGTGTGTCGTGCCGTCAGGGATTTAGTGCGTGCGATAACGATTCCCATCGAGGTCGATTTTGTGGCGGCCCACTCGTACGGCCATGGGATGGAGTCGTCGGGCAAACTCGACATCAAAAAGGACTTCAGGATCGACCCGAGTCAGCTCACACAATCAACGTGTGCCTGTGTAAGTTGGCTCGTGTGTGTGTGTGTGTGTGTGTGTGTGGTTCAGAGGGCCGTGAGGTGGTGTTGGTCGAGGACATCGTTGACACCGGTTTGACGCTCAACGTGCTCTCGAAGCACATCATGGACAGGGGGGCCAAATCTGTCAGCATATGTAAAGGCACACACACAGACACACACACACACCGAAAGAGAGAGAGAGAGAGAGAGAGAGGGAAGGAGGATACCTACTGTGTCTGTGTCTGTGTTTCTATCAGGCACGCTGCTTGACAAGAGGGCGCGTCGAGCGGCGCCGGTGCCGAACCTCAAGTTCATCGGATTCGACTGCCCGGACCAATTTGTCGTCGGTTACGGGTGCGCCAACCCCCCCCCCCACACACACAGCCATTCACACTCGCATGTGTGCATGTTGTGCCATGCTTCCTTCAGCATCGACTGGGCGGAGCGGTATCGGTATCTGCCGTATGTGGGCTACCTGCGGCCGTCGGTGTACTCGAAGGCCATCTCGGAGCAGGAGCCGGCCCAGGACAGATTTAGGGAGGAGAAAACAGGATGCAGAAATGGCTGCTGAGTTAGGGGCGGTGGGCAGTGGACGGTCACACATTCCGTATGCGGCCCGAGAGGGTGGGAGGTGGCTAGCCAGCTGTGGTGCGTGCGTGTTTGGGCGACAGCTTTTTCCGCCGGCCCTTATTTTTCTTTTTGGGGCACAAACAGTAGCAGCCCGTTCTGTTTGTTTGGCTGCACATGTTTCCTGCTTTCAGTCTTGCCTAACAAACTCCATGGTGATGCCTTGTGCGCAGCACTGAGGTGTGCCGCTGACACTGCGTCACCAGCAGGCTTGGAAGGCGAACTGAATGCAGCGACGTGCAGCCAGCCAAAGGGAGTGCATCGAAGATATGATAGAGGCAGACACTCTCTGTTTGATGGATGAGCATGAGGAGAGTGGTTTTCGTTTAGTCGCATGATGGCATAGCACAGCAGACACTGTCGACGGCCGGCTTTGGTAGCTACTAGCGGGTGGCCCCAAGGTAGGAGTGGTTGCGTATCTTCGTGTCCATTCATCCTGCGTGTCTTGATTTATTTGTCGTTTCGTTTGCTGACCGTCCTTTTGTGTGTGTGCGTGAGTGTGGGTTGGCGAGTGGACACGTGTCAGGCTGAGAGGAAATGCTGTGAGACACACACACGGCTTAAAATCATGACTCGACTGGCAGGGATTGTCTGGTCATCCGCCAGTCGCTGCCTGTGGAGTGAGAAATGAGGGAATGAACGCGTGACATGCTCACTGGATGGCTGTACAGGGGTTCACGCATATCATGCAGGGAGGTCATGATGTCATGCAGATTTGCCATGAGTCATGACCACATGCACAGGCACTCGACAATACACACCCTTTTGCTACACACCCGCTCGTGCCTCATGCCGGCCCGCCGTCACCGTATCAGCTGCAGACAGGAAGCAGTGACGACATCGAGTGTGTCTGCAGAGGGCCAACGTGGCGCCTGTGTGTCTTGTATGGTGACGTGTGCCGTATGGTCGACTCAGCCACTGCCCGCCTGCACACACACAGGCAAACATGGCGCCGCCTCAGCACATGCAGCCATGAGTGCTGTGTGCCCTCCCCGCCCTCACCTGTTTGATGTGCCATATCTCAATCTCGCTCGCTGTGAAGTCACGGTGCGCCGCCAGCGTTCCACTCCCACTCTCACTGATCTCGCCTCTGTACCCCCGCGGCAAGGACTCCCTGTTGATCCACAGCTGGCAGCTTCTGATGTCGGCTGCCTGACCAGGCCGGGCCCACCCGAGCCACAGACATGCAGCGCCGAAGGCGATGACCATGTTCGCGTTGCGGTCCGTGTTGATGGCCTTTGCCGCCCCCCGTGTGCCGGCCACGCTCAGCCACTGCCTGTCCTCGGGTATCTCGATCTTGCGCGGCACATCATACGCGCCCGACAGCCAGTAGAAGAAGACGGGCACCTTGTACGCGTTGCTCTGTGTGGGGTTGGCTGGCGGGGTGAGTGGGCCGTCGAGGAAGCAGCCGAATCGGTGTGTGTCGCCATCTCGGAGGGCGAAGAGCAGGCCGCTCTTGCCCGCCACACACTGGAGCATCTTGGGGAACGCATACGTGTCGCGACTGCCCCTGAGGGATGGAAGGCACACAACGCATACACACACTGGCTGTCGTCTGCTCTGTCTGTCGTACTTGTATAGCAGCGATGGCGCCGCTGCGATCTTCTTGTTCGTCATGTTCATCACTGATGTCCACTCGTCAGCCCTCTCGATGACGGTACTCTCTGACGGCACCGTGTTGAGGCCGTACATACCCAGCTCGACGCCGAACACCTCCTTCTCGTGGGGCGCGACGACCGGCGGATGCACAAATCGCCCGTCTGGCATGACGGTCAGCCTGCGGGCGAAGTCCACGGTGAGTTGCAGGAACTCAAGGGACGTCTGATGCACATCCTGGTCGGGCCACTGAGTCCTGAACCGCAGGAAAACGGCACACACGCAGGAAAGAGATCGAATGGTATGCGTGTCGGGGGTCTGGTCTCCTTTCGTACGGATCGAAACGCTTGACAAGTGCGTGAGTCGGTCCGAGGGGTGCGATGGTGCGGCGGAGAACCGACACCTTGTCCTCACACACAGTCAGCGTCACCACCTGGTCACTCTCACCGCTGCTATCTCCCTTGACGAAGGGTCGCATGGCCGTCAAGAAGGCCGCCATCCCCTCCTTCTGCTTCCGCAGCCAGGCGAGGGCTCGGCGGTAGCTCTTGGTGTAGTGCTCCATCTCCCGAAACGCAGCCTCGGCCGCTGACTCACTCACACCCTCCTCACCACCCTCGCCCTCCCCCGCCCCCGCCCCGCCCCCGCCGCTACCGTCAGCCATCTCTACATCCCGCTGCTCGCCTCCCCCTCCAGCTGCCGCTGCTGCTGCTGCCGAGGCGCTCGGCGCCTGTGGCTGCTCCTCGATGTCACCGCCCAGCTTTTGCATGAACAGCGAATGATACTCGGCGTAGGAGGGGTCGTCGCTCTTGGGAGGGAGGAGGGGGGTCTCGTTCAGGTGAGGGCTCTCGAGCAGCGCCAGCTGGTCGCGCAGCCATTTGAAGTAGGGCGGGTGCATCTCGAGGTACGGCAGCTTGTTGGTGTCCTTGGGCAGGGCGTCGATGAAGTGCAGCAGCAGGGTGGAGAGGTAGGTGAGCTTCATCCTGGGGTGAAGGAGCCGCTGGATGGGCATGGCAATGACAGTGCCGCCCACGTTGAGCCTCAGGTTGCCGCTTGTCTTATCCACCTTCAGCTTGCCGCCATTTCCGAGAATCATCTGGCTGATCTCACTTGCCAGCCCCTCGACCGCCGTTTCAGCCGAAGCGGCCGCCTGTTTGAGGCCGTCAATCGACGCAGCCACGTCCCTGACGAGCACATCACCCTCCTCGCGGCCGGTGATGACGCCATGCAGCCGAAATGGGGCGATTGACTCATCGGCTACTTCACTGTCGTCATTCTTTCGCTTCTTCGTGCCACCAGCTCCTGCTGCGGCGGCCGACATCATGGGAAATCGTTTGCCCTGCCGGGAAAGAGCTTGCCCTATCCCAGTGACGTGAAACACATCTTGAGCCCCAAGATGGATCGTGGCGCTGTGTCGTTCGTTCGTTTGTTTAGTTGACGATGTTGTCGAAGAAGCGTAAGTTCGAGTCGCCTGCGACTGCTGCGGCAGCGGGCGGCGATAGCGACGAGTTTGAGCCGCTCCCAACCATCGGCCGCCAACGAATCGATGAAGCGCTCAAGGAGGCCGACGAATCGCTGGCGACGATTGAGCAGAACGCCAAGCAGATGAGGAGAAAGCTGCGCGAGCAAGCAGCGATGATTCGCGGGCTTATCACGAGCAGTGGAGGGCAGCTGATGGTGACGGGGCGACTGGATGATGAGATAGAGATCAAAGTGGGCGGGACGGTGCTGTGTGTGCCGCGCAAGCCGCTGCTGCTGCCCGGCGTGAGTGAGAGCATCATCGCATATCTGCTGCTGTACCATCTGGAGGGGCTGCCGAAGGACACGGAGGGGCGGCCCTTCCTCGATGCTGACCCTGTGTACACAGATTGGTGAGCTAAGCGAAAGAAACAAGGAAGAATGGGCCTGCCAATCTGATGCTTGCTGTGTGTCTGTGTCAGGTTGTTTGACGAGATCGCTAAGGTCGGCTCTGCTGATGCGCAGCGCGAGACTCATGAGATCGTCCTGGCCCCCCCACACGACACCGACAGCTCGTCGCTCTTCTGGCACTCACTCCTCTTCGCGTCCAAGACCGGCCTCGACATCCACATGCCCGCAGCCGCACCCTCGCCAGACGGTGACGACCATGACAACATGCATGTGGACGAGGCACAGCAGCTTGAGGGCGGGGAGGCGGCCGAGGGTGGTGAGAAGGGTGACGCAGTCGACGGCATGGCGGCACTCAGCAAGAGCATCGCAAGCCTGGATGCGTCAGTGGGTCGGCTGGGCGCGGCCGAGGACCGCTTGATGCAGTTCTCCAAGCTCGTGAAGCCGCTGCTGGCGTCGGGGGTGGGGCAGGGGGATGAGATAAGGAGCGTGCGTGTTCGGGGCAAGACAGTGTCGACCACCGAGGCCACACTGTCGCATGCTGGCCGCGACAAATGACTCTACACGACATTCCACGAGTGGGGACACAACACCGATCGAACAGACGGGAGAAGCTGCATGGCCGCTCTCATGTTCTCTCTCTGTTTTGCAGCGGTGCGGCTGTCCAGAGTACTTCATCTGAGCATCTCTTCAGAGTGGTCGACTTTGCCCGGAGAAAGCGCATCACACAGCCCGACTGCCTCGTCATGCCGCCGGCGGCAAGCAACGCCAAGCAGATGCAGGTCGACACCGAGATGTATGGGTTGAAGCACGAGCCCTTCTGCAGCGGCCTGGCGGGGGGCGACTTGGTGATCGAGACGGCCGAGGAGTGGGACGAGGTGCTGAAGATGACGGGCAAGACCTCGCCTATGCCGTCACTCCTATACAAGTATGCGAGCACTCATACGTGTGCGGTCACGGACAACAACTACACCTGGCAGACACCGTCTTTGTGTGTATTGCTCCTGTGCCATCCATCCCTCAGGGGCAGTCGCGACACGTATGCGTTTCCCAAGCTGCTCCAGTGTGTGGCGGGCAAGAGCGGTCTGCTCTTTGCCCTCCAAGATGGCGACACGCACCGATTCGGCACCTTCATCGACGGCCAGATCGTACCCCCTGCTGACCCCACACAGACGACCGGCAACTACAAGGTGCCCCTCTTCTTCTACTCGCTGTCGGGTGCGTACGACGCGCCGACCAAGATCGAGCTGCCCGAGGAGAGGCAGATGGTGGAGGTGGCCGGCACACGGGGGGCGGTCAAGGCCAAGAACGTGGACAGGCATGGGAATCTGTGCATTGCTCGCGGCCACCTTTGGCTCGGGATGGCCAAGCCTGGTCCAGCGGCCGACGTCAGCAGCTGCTCTCAGTTGCTCAATGAGCAGTACCTGCCGGGGGGGTACAGAGGCGAGATCAGTGAGAGCGGGTATGGGAGGCTGGCTGCTCAGCGTGACTTCACAGCGAGCGAGATTGAGATATGGCACATCAAACAGGTGAGGGCGGGGAGGGCACACAAGACGCCACTCATGGCTGCATATTGATCACATCATACTTGCCTGCGTGTGTGCAGGCGGGCAGTGGCTGAGTCGGCCGTACGGCACCACATCAACACAGCAGACACACAGGTGAGAGGTTAGGCAGCATCACCGCTCTCTACCTGCCGTCTACTCTGTGTCGTCACTGCTTCGTGTCTGCAGTTGATGCGTTTGCGACAGTCCGGCAGGAGCACGAGCCGGTGTAGCGAGACGGCGTGTGTGTGTGAATCGGTGTGCATGTGGATGTGACCATGATACATGTGTGTGGGTGCGTGGCTTTATGACTGATGATTGCATTTATCAACCCGTGCACAATTAACCGATTTATCCACCATCACCTATCAGACACACCGAAATGGAATGTCATTTCGTTTGCTGACCGTCCTTATGTGTGTGCAGGTGAGTGTGAGGGTTGGCGAGTGGACACGTGTCAGGCTGAGATGAAATGTTGTCCGGCACACACTCAGATATATCACTTGTGAGACACAGAATACATGTCAGTCATTGTCAGTCAACCAAGCAGCGTGCTGATGTGAGTCCGTCTACTTGACCCTACACACTTCCTGGCTCCTTCATAGACAGACAGACAGACAGACAGAGAAAGAGAGACATCGCGGCCTCAAAAAACGCGACGCTCCATCAGCCTTGAACCCCATCATCGCTCACGACATCAGGCAAGACAACACTCACACACACACACGTGTGCAGCTCTCTTGGCCATACTATAAACGCCCCCGCCCAGTGAGTGCACAGGTATTTATTTCTTCCCTGACTAAGAAACAACAGATACACACATGACACACATGACTCAGGCCAACGATCATTGTCTCTGAACGAACACTCACTCACACCCTCAGCAGACAGACACACACGCCGACTCATCAGCTGAAACGACCCGACTTGTGACGTTCACATGGCCACCCACTGGCAGATGAGCATCGCCATGGCCACCCCGCCCCACAGTGACCACCCCCTCACTCTGCATCATGCTTCAACACCTCCACCTCATCAGCAGTGAAGACGAAGGCACCGCCAAGATAAGCATCACCAAACTCGTTCCTCACCCCCTTGTAGCCCTCAGGCACATAGCGGCTGGCGATGGCAGATTGCGCCTGCTCGACGTCAAGCCGATCTTCACCCATAAACGACCAATCCGACATGGTCCCATTCAACGCAAAGCCACGGAGCTCCAGCCCTCCCACGGGGCGGTCCAGGTCATCGTTGAACTGCGGAAACCACAGCTCCACCCGATCTTGTGCCTCCTGTAGGAGCTGAAATCTGGTCGGCTCATCGAAGTGGCCCGACAGCGAAAAGTACCACAGGTAAGCCCCCGACGGCGGTGTCGGCGTGACCAGTCCCTCCGACAGCGATGTCGGAGGGGGCGGCTTCTGGTCGAATTGGGCCCACAAGCTGACATAGGTGCCGCACACGTATGGGGCCTTGCGGATGAGGAACACGGTGCCGGCCTCCGCCGACCAGCCCTCACGCACCTTGTCGGCGCCTATGAGGCTGAACATATCATGAAGTGTACTGCCGTCTGCAGAGGACCTGACATACACACAAAGCAAACAATCAGACAGACAGCCAGACAGCCAGACAGCCACCATACACATGTGTGTGGCCTGGCTGGTTGGCAATAAACTTGTTGATAGACATACCGGTAGATTGAAGTGAGTGTCTTGTTGTCTCCCAAGAGGTCACGGAGGCCGTCATACTCGGAGGCTGACAGGGACGAGCCGTCCACAGGTGACGGAGAGCTGTTCGCCGCTGGTGGGGGTGCGACTGGCGTCACAAGTGCTTCTTCGGGCACCGTGGCTCGTGTCGACACCGCATGCAGCACCTCCACCTCATCAGCTTCGAAGAAACGGTCGCCACCAAACCAAGCCTCATATTCGCTGCCCCTCTCTCCCATAAAAGCCTCGCCATCGGTCTCTCTCACACCCATGTAGCCCTCAGGCAGATAGGCGGCTGCCGTCCGCTGGAAGCAGCTGCGGGTGTCATTGGATCCATTTGGAAAGTGAACTCCTCTCGCGCAGTCCCCCATACATATCGTCCTGACAGTCAGCGACAACCGCCCTTCGCTCCAGTCAGCTCGCCCAAAAAACACCCGTTGCTTGGGGAACGGGGCCATGATCTTGGTCGGCACGTCGAAGTGGCCCGCCAGCGAGAACTGCCACATTTCACATGCGTCAGGGGGATCAGTCACACCGAAACGCTCTTCAGCCAGGGCGATGCCGCAGTTGATGGATGTGCCGAACACGTACTGGTCCTTCCGGACGACGAAGACGAGCGGCTCGCTGTCGCCCACACGGTCCAGCAGATCGTCGAATGTGCTGCCATGCACTGATGCCCTGCCACCCACCCACAGACAGACAGACAGACAGTGTGACGATATGGTTGTTTGGCTCCTTGGCACACCTACCGGTAGAGTGAGGTGAGGTTGGTATCATTGCCCAGCAGGCTAATCAGACCCTCGTACTCTGACGCTGACAGCGATGTGTTGGCTGGCAAACCGACCTGCAGACGACGAACCTGACACAGACAGACAGACAGACAGCCACCAGAGATGTGATCAGCCACAGACAGACAGACAGACAGGCATTGAGTGCAATGAGAGTGCATCAGGAGCTGAGCTGATGCCGTGTGTGTGTGAGATCTACCTGGGCAGTGCTTCTCGGGCGCACGAAGGCATGGCAGCACGCCACGCAGAGGGCGAGCAGGACGGACAAAGCCAACAGCATCACGCCACGCACCATCGTTGGGGGGAATCAATGGGAGAGGGCATTCTGTGAAACAAAGCTGAGTCAGAACGTAAACTCCGGGCGGTTTCGCGTTCTCTTTCGCCCGTCTCCCCGGAGTCAGACGCATTCTGCTACCTTCTTCCCCCACCGTCAGATTTCACCATGTCGGTCGGCGTCTGCCTACCTCTCTGCCGCACCAGCTTCTCTTGTTGCTGCCTTGGTGCTGTCAGCGGCCCTCCTGTCTGCAGCGACAAGAACAATGACGATCAAATGCGGTGTGGCGGTGTATGTGTCGGCTCTCCTGGCCGCCTGCTATGTGCCCATGGCGGCGGGGAAGGGGGGCGTCTGTTCCATCCGAGATGACCCCCTCCCCGAGTGCACAAGCGGCTTCGTGCATCACACCGACGCCGGCAAGTGCGTCAAGCCGTTCCGCCACCAGCCGCACTACTACTGCGCTGAGCAGGTAGGCACACACACCCACACACACATGACAAGACGTCGTGACTCATTTGTGTGTCTGTCGGTGTGTGTCTTAGGGTTATGTGGTGGAGGGCAATCAGTGTGTTCTGTATCAGTACGCCGACGGCACCTCTTTCTGCAGGGACCCCCACACGACTCTGTCGGGCACCATGCACCACAGAGGAGACCTGCCCTCCCGACTACAGGTGCCGCTTCGGCTACCAGCTGACAGCCGACGTGCCCACCGACACGTGTGCATCATCACCCAAACGCACCCGGCTGACTTCAGCTGCCCCTTTGGCTGCGATCCGAGCGGCGACAAGTGCGTCGCCAAGCACTTCGCAGAGAGACGGTAAGCAACACGGAGCAACACGGAGCAACACAGCACAGCACAGCGCTACCTCATTCACCGTCCTCATGTGTGTGTGTGTGTGTGTTGACCGATCAGTCATTCTTGTCCGGATGGCTTTGAGTTCAAGCGCGGCATTGAGCTGCCGCCGGTGTTGGGTGTCGGCCCACACGAGGAGACCTGCATCAGGGGCGACCACGGTCCCGTCCAGCACCGCTGCGCCAGGGGCAGGCCGCACTGGATCGACAACAAGCCCGTCTGCTGCATCACTTGCGGCAGTGGCCACTGGGGCGGCCAGCTGTGCCGGCAGTAGACACACAGACATGCGTGTCGCTGTTCTGTCGCTGAACGTCTGAGGGTGTGTGTGAGTGACTGTCCTGGTGGGGGGCGGGGAGAGGCGGTTCATGTCAACAGGTGTGCAGAGTGAGCTTTCCATAGCGGTCTGCGCTGATGCGCTCTGTCGGCGGCTGTCCAGTGGGTCTCCGCAGTGCGCGTTAGCCTGGTCTCGGTCACTCAATAGTGTTGCTGTGACACACGTGTGTGTCTGTGTTGTGAGTCGGTCTGTCTGTCTTTGTAGGACGTGGTGTGTGAGCACATGTGCGTGGGCAGACAGGCAGGCAGGCAGGCAGGCCGGCCGGGGAACGGACGAATGGACCCGTGTGCAGCCAAAGAGAGGTGCATTTATCCATCCCGTCCATGCTTTGTCAACACACTGATGGTATGGATGGATGTGTCACAGTGTCATAGTTGGGCGGAGGGGAGGGAGGACATTGATTTGAGTGCGACAAGAGCATCAACCAATATGCGCAGCTTGAACGAATCCGTCCGTCAGGTCAACGGAGACGATTCCCTCACCACTTGTCACACACACAAACACACTGCCACCAGCACACCACCTTCAGCAAGGCACATATGCACCAGTCGACAGCCCACCCACTCCCGTCGTCCGTCCATCTCACTCGCTAACGCATGCAGCTGTCGCTCTGATGTCGACACTCGCAGAACACGCAGCCACTCGACAAAACCTCACAAGTGAAGATGGGTGGGTCGGTCAACCGACACAGACAACACAGACGACACAAGCGTGTGTTGTGAGATCGTGTCTCTCCCGCAGACCGCTGTGTTTGCAGCTCTGTGGGGAAAGAGGACGTCCGGATATAAAATGGAGGCAGCGATCACTCGCCGATGAGCGGACAACTCGACCGGCATGTGTCACAACGGACTGTGACAGCCACTTTTGAAGACGCAGCAATTGCAAAGGCAACAGACAACAGACGAGAATGGCATGCGCTGGCAGCTGACAGAAAGCAGAAGACAGAGAGAAAAAGGACGATGAACATCCATATGAGGTTCGCTGGCTGGTCGCTAGTCGTTTACCACCACTCTGCCGTCTCGGAAGCTGTTGTACTTGTCGTTTCTGTCGTAGGGCCGGCTCTTACTGCAAACAATCATATGCGTGTATATGAAGTGGAGAGGAAAGTCATAACTTACTTGGGAAAGTAGGTGTTGGGAGGGGGGAGTCCTTCTGTGTGCCCTGGGGGCATCCTGTCCCGTGTGGCCTGCACACGTGAGACAAAGCGATCTGTCCATCGTCAAGGATAAATGTCTCTGAAGTCTCCTGCCCACCACATATCCGTCCCTCTTGTGGGGCGGCACGTAGTCGCGCTCCAAGCTGCGCCTAGAATCCTGGCGCACCTGCACACCACACACTCACCCACACACACACTGAGAGAGATACACACGGACGGGTGCAATATATATAATGCGACCACATGCTCGCGCGCGTGTGTGTGTCCCACCTGCCGCTCGTACTGCTGCCGTGACGCTGCCAGTTCGTCACGCTCGCGCCTCATGTTGTCCATCTCCTGACGCAACTGAACCAACACACAGACACACGTACACACAGACACATGAACATAACAATGGAATGGCATGATGCGCGTCGCGTCAGAGGGCATTCCATCCATCCAACTCACCCGGTTGACTTGTTCCTCGTTGGACTCGTTGGATGCCGTGACGTTGCACCATCGGGTGGCACACATGCACCCCAACAAAGCCAGGGTGGCGGACGGCACTGCCCGTTGCCCTCCGTGCTGGCCCTGGTCGCTGCCATAGTGTCTCTGTGGGCTGAGGCTCTCAGGCCCTTGGCCGATGAGTGCATCGATGGCCTTGTCGATGGCGGCCTCCTTGCGATGCCATCGTCGACATTCCATCCAACTCACCCGGTTCACTTGTTCCTCGTTGGATGTCGTGGCGTTGGCCAGCTCCCCCCGAACTCTCAACAGCTCAGCCTGGTACTGCTCACACACAGACATACACACGGCTGGCTGTTTTGCACACGTGAATGTATGGGGTGGTCTCTCTCTCTCTCTGTCCGTTGGTCTCTTGTGCGGTTTTGGCGTCCTCGCGGCAATCGGCCAACTCGCGCTCAGCCTGACCACTACACATACACACATCCACACATCAATAACATCAATGCCCCCTCTCTCCCTCCCCTCCCCTCCCCTCCCCTCCCTGCCCCCATCCCTCCCTCCCTCCCTCCCTCCCCGCGTGTCGTGTGTATGTGTTTGTGAGGCCACCCACCTGGCGCCTGAGGGCTTCCTGTCGTTCGACGGCCTTCTCAACGTCAGCTCGCACCTGCACACCACGCACACAAAGATACACACGGACGGGTGCAATATATATAATGCGACCACATGCTCGCGCGCGTGTGTGTCCCACCTGCCGCTCGTACTGCTGCCGTGACGCTGCCAGTCCGTCACGCTCGCGCCTCATGTTGTCCATCTCCTGACGCAACTGAACCAACACACAGACACATAAACATAACAATGGAATGGCATGATGTGCGTCGCGTCAGAGGGCATTCCATCCATCCAGCTCACCCGGTTGACTTGTTCCTCGTTGGACTCGTTGGAGGTCGTCACGTTCGCCAGCTCCTTTCGAACTCTCAACAGCTCGGCTTGGTACTGCTCACACACATACACACACACACGCATTGTGCCCCATATCCTGGCTTGTGTGGTGGCAACTTACACTCCGTATCGCATGGTGTCCATTCTAGCTATGACGATAGGCAGCACATGAAGGCAGGTCTTTGTGGTTCGTGTGGTGAAACTCACGGTGGCGTACCTTCAGCCCATTCGTCCTCATCGTCATCTTGAGAACCGCCACCAAACCAACAGCAGCCATCCCTGAATGGCAGGAGAGGACAACCGCGCACGTAGGCTGGGCTTGATCTCTCCCAGGTGCCTCCTGTGGCCCCCCTGTCAGCGTGTGACTTACGATGGTGGTCGCTGCTCCCTTGGCCGCCCCATGGGCTCCTCAACAACGCAAGTACCTGCCAAAACACGCAGGCGGGACGACATTCCAACGCGATATGCACTGTGCCGTTCAGAGTGGCACATTCACCCCCCATCAGGGCGAGACCAAAGGGCAGAGGGAAACCAGAAAAAGAGGCAATGGCGGAGTGCGTGGAAATCATTTGAGAAAATAAAAAGAAAAGACAGCCGTCTCCGTCTCCAGCTCCGGCGAGAAGGTCGCGAAGCTTAGGTAAATTTTGCGTGTCGTGAAAGCGTCTTGCCCAACAGCGAGAGTGACGAAACATCGCACACCGATTTCCGGAGCCACATCGAAGCCCAATGTCTCGATCAACACAATTGTGCGTACAGTTTGTTGGCTCACACAGGGGCACAGCTGGGCACTACAACGTTAACGTGTGAATGCAGAGGGAAGCTGAGTGGTTGGATGCAACCTGTGAAGGGAGGATGATGATAATTTGATGTACAGTCGGTTTTCGGGGTCCACAGACAGAGAGCCATAGGGTGGGAGTGACGGCGTGAAAGAGGGAGCGGGGGTCCCCGACTTACCGACCGAAAAACGACCCACCCATGGATGGCAGCCATTGCATTCGTAGACAAATGTATAGAGACAGACAGACAGACAGACAGTCGCTCATCTCTCCCTCGACATACATATGCGATAGATACACAGATAGATTGATGGGTGGATAGCACCAGAGGTGTGTGTTTCTATCTGGCGAGCGGAAAAAAGAGTGATGGACACGGCTGGACTGACTTGGTGGCCGTTGAGCGGTCAGTTGCTTTGTCTGGTATTGTCCATGAGCTGATGATATCTATCGGATACTCGGTGGGAGAAAATCCGATAGATATCATCAGCCCACCTGCAGGACCAAACAAGGCAGCGCCCGCCGCCAGCATACTCACTCCGTCATAGATGCTTCCATGGTTCGTGCGATACGAAGCCAGACATACAGACAGACAGACAGACAGACACCCGCTCTCAAATATACAACACACACCCCACTCGTCCTTATCTTTTGTCTGTCTGCAGCTTGACGCACGTGAGCATGAAGGTATGTAAGATAAAGACAATGAAGGGATAGACAGCGGACAGACAAACAGGGAAAAACTCAGTCAATGCACCCACTGCAGCCCCCATCCATTCTCACGTCTGACACTCAGACGTCCAGCAGACACGTGTCGTCGCCCCGCCGGCCATTGGGCGACCCGCCATCACTTCCACCACTCGCCATGAGAGAGGCGAATGGCGGCCGCCCGCCCCTCCACCCCACTGTCTCATTAATACTGTTCTCGTCACCGCCAGCCATCTCCACGTCGATGCTGCTGCGCGTCGATTGCGTCGAGAAGGAACCGGCCCACTTGTCGTCAGAGGAGAGGGGGGGCGACAGGGGGATGTCGGTCGTCTCGTCGATGTCAGCTGTGTCGGGGTCGCTCTTGACGAGTTGGTACTGGATGCGCTGGGAGTGGAGGGGGGGGGGGGTGTAGGAGTAGGGAACCGTCTCAAAGCTATCGGCGGGGGCGCCGCTCATCTCGCTGCCGTAGATGTGCGCCTCGACTGCGTGTTGGCTGTCGTTGGGGTTGCCGATGTCCTTCTCGAACAGCTGCACATACGACCACACCACATACGCGAAATAACCTGTTTGTCGGTCGACACACACAGAGAAACACAAGACAGACATGGGTGCAGATGCGAGTGTCTGTCTGCACGAGTGCTGTCTGCGGTCACCGCCGATGAAGACGTTGCCCACGAGAAGGGCGAATATGGTGGTCCTGACGACCGTGCAGGCCTCAGCAAAGCCGGCACTGGCACGCTGCGAGTGGTGGGCAAACAGCTTCTTTCCCTCTGCCTCCAAACCCGCACGCGCCTGAAGGACAGTGGAGGACGCACACACAGGCGGTTGTGTGTCCGTGTTGTGCCCCGCATTTTTTGTTGGCTGTGGCTGGCAGGGCAAGGTGCTTGGCTTGCTTACTTCGTCGCAGACGATGGCCATCCATACGGCGAGCCATATGGTGTCGACGACGATGCACGTGACGTAGTAGAAGAAGTAGGTCTGCACGGGGGTCAGCCTGCGATCGGACCTGAAGATCTCTGCGTGGCGCGACGTGTTCCTGACCACACACAAACACACACACGCATTCACACGCAAGCCTCTTCGTGTGCCGTGACTGACGGCCTGATGGCTTGCCTGAAGACGGCCACGAGGCAGAGCAGCGATAGCGTGAAGCGGACAGCCGCCAATAGGAGAGCTGCAACCACACAAAACACGACACACACACACACACACATACACACACGAGAATGGTTGCCATCCCTCCCCTCCTTGTCTGTGTTTGCCATTGCCTACATATGCCCTCTGCGACGGGGCCGTTGCCCTCAGCATACTCTACACACACAACACGACAGCGTCGAACAGTCAGACCAGATGAGCGTTCGAGCGTCCTGTTCGGCCTGGGTCTAGAAGGTGCGTGTACGATAGATACCCTCGAACACGATGATGCCCGAGCTCCCGAGGACGGAAAAGAAGGCGTCCGCCTGCACACAGAGAGGAGAGGGACGGACGCACGCGCACAAGACAGCAAACCCCGTGTGTGTACGTGTGTGACACATGCATGTGGTTGCAGCCCGTTGGTGTGTCTGTGTGTGACGGGGCCATACCATGTCGAGGGATGCGATCCATGTGACTCCCGCCGCCAGTGACTGGCCACAGCAAAACTGACACACCACACGCAGACACACACACACCACAGACAGACAGACAGCCATGCGTGCGTCAGTGAGAAGATGGGGAGATCTCCCTTTCTCCCTCTCCCCGGTGCGTACGGACGGCCTGCATTGTCTGTGTCTTACCCCAGTCAGTGGCTCCACCTTGAAGCCCAGCAGACCGTCGAACACCATCTTGCCTCTGGCGCGCCGCCTTGATATGCACAAATGGCGGTGTCCAGGCAACGGGAACGCAGATCTGTAAAAAAGCAGATGCGATAGGGCCTCCTGTCCTCGGAAGCTTTGGTTTTTGTCCGATGTCGGACTCTCAGAAGGGATCGGCGACGCGAGCTTAGGTTTTCAAACCCTTCACATCTCCCCCGGCGCTGTCCATCCATCCGCTGCATTTGACTGACAGCATCATGGTGCAGCCGCAGAGGACCACGATCTTGCTCATGATCTGCCTGGCCCCGCTGCTGTCCATCGCAGCCTTCCGACCCTCCCCGTCTGCCTTTGTCCGCCATGCATCCTTCTCCCTCCAATCGCCACATAAACACACGAGGAGGCGGCACCGTCTTATGCACAGCAGCCCGACGATGCTCTCGCTGCCGCCAGTGCTTGAGGGCCTGCTCAAGCCGACGACGACAGGCAGACCGAGTTCGTTTGTTGAGAGGCGCGACGAGCGGCCCGATGCGGGCAGGTTCTATCTGAATCCCTTCTGGGCGCCCTATTTCACAAGGCCGACGTTAAGGCGGCAGCTTGATGAGTGGACATGGGTGTTCGAGCAGCGGCTGGGCCTCTTCAATGTGAGTGAGATCGTCAGGTGGGCAAAAGCGGAAGCGACGGCAGTGAATGAATGCGGCAGGATGAAGCGGGTTTCCTCTTCTCGCTGTCTGTCTGTCTGTCTGTCTGTCTGGGTGTGTGTGACTGTGTGTGTGTGACTGCGTGTGGTTTAGGATGACGGTGTTGCGGTTGGACAGTGGTGGGCTGTTTGTGTTCTCTCCCGTGGCGCCGACTGGCGAATGCATCGCACTGCTTAATGTGGGCACTCCGACAATCCGCCAGATGTGCGTCGGTCACTGTGGTACTGGATGGATGGATGGCTTCAGGACATTGGCGGCGAGGTTGAGTACATTGTCCTCCCGAGTGCTGCGCTCGAACACAAACTGTGTATGTGATCAACGAGGCGCTATGTGTGTGCGTGTGTATTCCTGAATGATGAGTTCGTCTTTTGTTCCTCCATCTTTGCTATGCCATGCAGTCACCCAGAGCTTCGTCAAGAAGTACCCAAGGGCAGAGGTACACATCGATGATGGCACTTTCACACACATACAGCCAGCACCCATGATCTCCTTCTCCTCTCTCGTCAGGTCTTTATCGCTCCCGGCCAGTTCTCATACCCCTTCTCCCCTCCCGGCGGCCCGCTGGGCTTCACGCCAGACGGAGTGCTCACCAACGATCTGATAACACCATTCAGCAACGAGATAGAGCACGCAACTTTCCTGGCATCGTCGGACGTCGGCAGTGCGGCTGAGGTGGCCATGTTCCACAAAAGCAGTCGCACCTTACTGACCGTCGACAGCATCGCTTTGATCGACCGACGGCGGGAGGAGAGGCGAGACGTGAAGGCGCAGTGCAGCGCGCTGCAGGTGCGCGATCGAGGGAGCGAGGAGCGAGTCGTTGTGTGTATGAGCGCCGCCCTCGTTGTATCCTTCTGTGTTGCAGGTGCTGTTCTTCCAGTGTGCGCCTGATGTGAACCCAAGTGGCTTCTTTTACAACGTCCCCAGCAAGTACGACAACTGGTTCGATCAGCTCGTGGTGCCGCCCACCGTCAGGAAATGGGTGAACAAGGAAATGAGATCGCTTGGGAAGGGGTGGTGACGACTTGGCTCTGTGGCCGTCGGCAGGTGATCGAGGTCAACCCTCAGACGACCAAGGAATGGCTCGATCGCATCTCACGCTTCAAATTCGACCGCATCATACCCTGCCACTTCGACGCGCCAATCGCAGCAAACACGTAAGCCGACGCCTTCCTGCTGTGTGTGCTGTTGCCCCATCCTTGCGCGTGTGTCTGTGTTGGTCAGTCGGGATTTCCTCGCCAGCTTCTCGTTCTTGACTGACCGGAGGAAAGCCGACGCGACTTTTCGGCCTGGACTTGCACCTTTCATTGAGAGTGTGGCGGAGAGCCTCCCCAAGGGACGGTGATCGACGGTGACCTGTCAACCGACAGAGGGAGAGGTGCAATGGGTGTCGATCAGTGAGGGTGGATGCATTTACTGTCTTGGATGGATGGATGGATGGATGGACTCTTCCACGCCAGCGACGGTTTGTGGTCTGAGTGAATGAAGATAAGGTTCAGTGCATGCAATGCATGACTGAGGGACACTTTGTCCCTCCCTGTCAAGTCTGTCTACTGAGACGTACGCATGTCATCTCATGTATGTCTCACGCTACCTACACGCTATCGACACCAGTGTGTGTGCTACTCACACAAGACATCCAGGCATGCATCGCATCAGATACATCACGGGCATCTACACGCCCACATGGCACACTGCCGCCCATCGACGGGCCCGACTATTGTGTCTCGTGCTGACCGATCGCCGCCCTCCACCACATCGCGCCACCTCATTCGAAAGCCAACAGTCGTATCATTCCGGTGCGCCTCCCTGTCTCAAGAAAGGCGGGTGCGTGAAGGAGGGCGTCATCGAGCGAGAGACACCAGTGTAGAGAATCGGCCGTATAAGGGGGTTTGGTGGCGGTGGTACTGGTGGGTGGGTGCTGCAGCACTTGCTCTGCTGCGGTGAGCGGCTGCGCGTGTCCGTCTGCGTAGCGGGCTGAAGGGAAGAGGGCATTATAGCGTTGTTCACCCAGCGAAGTGGGGGACTGGCAGACAGAGGATGCAAAGGAATGAGCGTGGGTATGCGTATCTGTGGTCTGTGTCGGCATACCGGATGATGAGTGGCGGCGATTTGATGACCAAGCACCCGCGGGCCTCGCCTTGTGGCTGAGGCTTTGAGGGAGGGGGTGCTGACTTGTGAGCCCGTCGGGGAGGCTCGTTCATGACCATGGCTCGGTCCAGCTCCTGCATGGCTTGGTCGAAATCGCCACCCAGGTGCTCCAATCTACGCAGGCTGGTCTTCATTTGCTGACACATCGCACGAGGGACACGACCACATGGATATGTGTGAGGCACGTTTTTGTCTCCGTGTGCGGTCACCTGTATGTGCTGCTGCAGTGTGTGCAGGCTCTCCAGCTGCGGTGGTGTCTGTGTCTTGCCTCCTGCTCCCGCTGCCGCCCTGCTGTGGCAGCTGAGGATGGACAGAGGCGCAGACTGATGCGAGCCGGCGCCATCAAATGTCGGCGTTCTTATGATGCCGCCCCCTGGCGCTGCCGCATCATTCGATCCTCTCCTATTCACCACAATCCTCACGTGTCTGCCCTCGCCATGGTTTTCCCTCAGCTGTCGGTTCTCCTCCCGTAATGCATCGATCTCTCTCTCCAGCTCCTCAATGCGGTGCATCTGCCGCCTGAGCGTGTCACCTGTGGCGTTGGCAAGGTCGTCGAAGTAGAGGTTTCTGGGGCTGATGTTCTCGCTGCTGCTGTCTTCGCTGTTGGAGCTGTTGAGCATCATGCTGTGCAACATGTCTCGGTCGCCAGTGCCGCCCAAAGCCAGGGAGGGCGAAATAGCGCCGAAGATGTCCGGTCTCTGAAGTAGAGAGAGCGAAATATCTGTCATCCCATGAGATGTCATTTGTCTCGTGATACCTGGGAAACGATCTCCTTGATCAGGTCCTGCATCTTCTCCATCTGATTTACGACATACAGGAGAGGATCCCACACACATGTCTTGTGTCGCTTACCCACCCGACCACCTGTGCGACGAATCTGGGTGTGGCGGCCATCGAACCAGATGGCCGCCCCGGCGTCATAGCCCCATAAACACTGCTGGCTCGTCTTCGATCGCTCTGGCTGTCGGGTGTGGTTGGGGATCGGCTATTGGCCAACGGGTCGGGGGATGAGGTGGTCGACGGTCGATGGGAGTTGAGACGGAGTGGGGACGGCTTCGGGCGCGACGCCCGGCGACCCGCCTTTGAGGACTCATCTTCGATGAGGGTCACCGTCTTCCTTCGTCCAGTTGATTGGGGTGGGGATCTCTTGGTTAGCCTGTTTCCGACTACCCCGACAGGCACAATCTCCTCCTTCAACCTCTGCAGCTTGTTGATCGCCTTGTCCTTCTGCCGCCCCCTCGTTATGCCCCGCAGGGTCCCTTCCAAGTGTTGAATCCGCCGCTTCAGGTCGAGGTTCTCACTTGTGACGCTCCGAAGGTTCTCGCGCAATATGAGCTCAACTTCGTCGTCGTCTCGGCTCCGTCTCGGAAGCTCGGCGCTCGCCGCTCGCCATAAGTCCCTGTTGATGAGAGCATTGAGCGGCTCTCTAGGCGATGGAACGACTGGGTCGTCGGCGGAGGCGGCGCTGTCGTCCTGCAGCGCGCTACTGAGCTCGTCACTGAGGGATTTTGGTGCGAGGGGGAGCCGGGGGACGGCGGGAGCGGCAGACTGAAAAGGCCAAAGAGGGATAAAGCTTGTCACAATAATACGTGCGTGTGATTGTTAGCGTACCGATGGTGAGACGTTTTGTCTGTCGTTGCCGCCTTGCGACTCTGGTCTCGACTCCCGCGATGCCCTCGGTGTGACGTCGGCTCTCAGCAGCTGCCGATCGAGGTTGGCCCCGTCAGACAGACCTGACAGGCAGTCAAGAAGTGAAGGACCGATACACTGTGATCTCTTGTGTCTTTGTACTCAGTCTGGTGATGGACGTGCGGTCGCCGAAGATTGTCATGTTGCGTTGGTTGCGGGCGTGGAGCAGAGCGGTCACTTCGTCCTAGCAAATCAACACACACAGAGACATGCCTCTCAACACTTGCTACAAATAGAGAGATGCTGTCTCAGTACCTTTTCCTTCTGCAGCAGCCTGTTTCTCTCTTCGAGTGCGTGTTTGGCCTTTTCCAAATCAATGAGGTTACTCTGCAGGCCCAGCAGACGAGATTGCATCCGACGCATTTCAATCCTGAGGCGGCACACAGATATAGAAACTTGAGTGAGACATGGGAGACACAGAGTTCACTCACTTTTGCTGGGAGTCTGCCCTCTTGACGGCGGGCGGTAGGGTGGCGTTGAGGGCCATCTGCTCTAGGTCCTTCACCGCCCCGTCGTCATGGCCGGACATCTTGTCAAGCGACTCCTGCAAGCACCACCAACCGTCCATCACGTTGCCGACCAGCATCGTTCATGCATGTCTCACCCACCTGGAGGTCCGTCACTTGCTGCTTCAGACGTTCGTTTTCGCGCATCAGCTGAGACTTCTGCCTCTCTAGGTTATCCAGTGACTGACCACACATGCAGACATACCACTTGTGTCTCACCATCGATGGTCGTGTCGTGTCACACCATTTTGGCAATTTCGTCTTCGCTGGATCGCGAAGCCCTGTCTTGTCGGCTCAGCTGTGTCCTTAAGTTGGCGTTCTCCTCCTTGAGTCTCTCCCCCTCTCGCCTGAGGAAGCCAATCTCCTCCACCATGCTGTCCCATTCTGCCTCGTAACCACCCGAGCTCTGCGACACAATGAACGAGCCGTGCATATGTGCACGCCGCTTGTGTCTGTGCTACTCACCGCGGCAGACTCTCGTCTGAGTGATCGGTTGCTGTGTCGTCGCTTCTTGAGGGCGGCAATGGTTCGGCGCAGCGACGCGACCTCTTCTTCCAACCCGACATCACGCTGCGCAAAGTCACCCAACACGACCTCGGTGCGCTCCAACTGCTCTGTCAGCTCCTGCACCACACATGGACCCATGGTGTCCATGTCTTTGTCAGTGCATGTAGTGTGCCTTGAGTGACTGACGTCATTTTCAGCCCCAACGCGTCTCAGCTCTTTGATAAGGGTTGATGTGCGAATCTCTTCCATCTCGCTCTGTAGCTGGACGAGCCGATTCTGTGTCTCAGCCAACTCCTGCATGAAAGAACGGCTTGGTTTTGATGCGTCGATGTCTCTCTTCTTGGCTCACCTTCTCTGCTTCTGTCCGTCTGGTCTTCTCTTCCTCCAGTTCTCTGGCCAGCTGCTGTGACTTCCCTCCATCAAGCAGACCTATGGGGCCGCCAGATCGGTGCACTACAGCAACACATGCAGATGAAAGACATGCACTCATGAGAGAAAGGCTTGGATGTGCTTGCCCCCCACCCTGGAGGGTCTGCAGCTCGTCTAGGTCTTCTTCATCCATGTCAATCATCTCCACACCCCGCTGCAGCGACTGCATGCCACCGAAGGCAAGGCGCACACACATTCGGTCCGAATGCGTCGGTCCTTCTGCCTTCCTTCGTTCCTGGTACCGTGAGCACTTTTATAAGCGAAAACATCTTGCCCGTCACGACGACGCTTTGGAAACGGTCGCGCAGCTGATCGCCACTCTTCATCGACATCACGGACGACCAATCAGCCAACAGCGAGCCCCCTCCGCTTTGCCTCTCAGGCTGGACGTCAGTCTTCCTTCGTGTATTCTCTTCGTGCGCCGTTTCCCCTGCTGTCTCTTCGAAGGACTTCGACCGCTCATCGGTCGGGTCAGAGTGCCGTTGGTCTGTCGAGTGAGAGGAGCGGGGCTGCAGCGAGTCGCGGGAAGGAAAGCCGCCACGACGCCTGGCTGCGAACTGCGCGTTGATGTCGCTGGCCGATCGTAGGAGGTCGGAGACGCGATGCTCCATGTCGTCGATCCTCTGCTCGACATTCTTCTTGCCTTCGTCTCGTCTGCCATCCCCCTCCTCCCCCTCCTCCGCAATTGTCATCAGCGCGGGCACAGTACTCGCGCTCACAAGACCCGACGGCCGACCCCGACCAACGCCTCTCCCCCTTGCGGCCGTCGCTGCCTGACTCGTGGGTGATTTGAGAGGGCTCTCGGGGTCGGCGAGGATAGACTCTTTTGGCTCGGACGCGTCTGTGTTGGCGGACGCGACAGGCCATCGAATTTGGAGGGACTTGCGATGGCTGCCGGACTGCTGGGATTGCCGGGGACCCGCGCCGCTGCAAACAAGAGTCAGGGACCGAAAAACAAGGTGAATCCCTTTTCAGACGGCCCTGTTATTTGTTGACCGTTGTTTTGTGGACTCTTTCTTTGTTCCCTCTGGTAGAGTGAGGGCACCAGCCGAGCTTGACCGCGCGTTTTTCATGAGGTCCACGGTCAAAGACAGACGGTGGCTCGACTTGCTGGTGGGCCTGAGGCAAAGAGGGCGCTATCCCATTCGGGCAACGCGTCCGAGTACCTCTCAGTGCTCTGTGATGTTCGTGAAGCTGCACTTCTGCCGAGATGAGGTGTGGTTGGCGTCTTGGGGGCTGATGCACCATCAAAGGAACCGTCGAATAGCAGCGAGCGCGAAAGCCTGAAAGTACACAAAAGGCACCTCCACCTGTCTGCGTATTGCACGCAGTATGGCCGTACGCACCGGCCATCATCGTCGCTCCCTTTGGATAGTCCCAATGGCATGTCCCTAAAGGCGGCAGACAGGCGAGGCGGCCGGGCTCGTGTGTCGAGGCGGATGCCAAACTTAGGGCGGGCTGTCGAGGAACGACGGAAGCTGCGCAGAGGAGCGAATGTGAGGGGCGACTCTCACATTCAGCGTTTGTCGCTGTGCCCCCTGTTTGTACCTGCTGGCGTCATTTGTTCTCTGACCCCCACCCTCTGCAATCTGTGCGCACAGCAAACAAGACCGAAAGAGTGGCAAAGTGCCATTGGCCCATGGCTCAAATGTACCTCGACGCTTCTGCTGTGCCTGAGTGCTATTCGAGGGGCAGGCTGCAGGCACATAAGAGATACACGTCTGATCACGCCATGCTTACCATACCCGCTGACAACCTGACAACCATACTCGCTTACCATACACGTCTGTTCAATGGCTGCGAGGCGGGCCTCTTTGCTCAAGCTTTCCATCATTCCCAAAACTCCTCGCAGGGGGAAGGAGGAAGGGGAAGAAGGGAGAGCGTTCGACTTCGTTTTGAGATCGCAACTGGCGATCCGTCGCGCGACGGATCCGCAATTGCGGATCCGCACAACGCAGAAAGGAACGCATGAGGGCTTCAGCAGCATGTATCTTCTCTCCAGATCTACACTCACAATGGAACTCCGTCATCTTTTCATCGCGTTGATATTGCTGGTCGCCCATTCATCGTTGTCAGCAGGCGACAGCCATGATGGCCATGATGGCAAGAAGAACATCACGGCGCTGCGGAAGAAGCTGCTGGGCAACGCCACCACGCAGTACTATCAGGTGTCGTTGGACCACTTCAACTGGCGGCACAATGAGAGCTTCTATGTGCGGTACCTCATCGACGACACGCACTGGGGAGGGCTGGGGTACCCCATGCTGCTCTACACGGGAGGCGAGGGACCAATCGAGAGCTTCTTCGTCACTTCCAAATTCGTCACCAAGACAATCGCAGAGCGATTCAAGGTCAGCGGACGATCATATCGTCTGTGCCCACGGGCGCGCTCAGCTCCCTTTCAATGTGTTGTGTTTGTGTTGGCGGTGCAGGCGCTTTTGTTGTTCATCGAGCACCGGCAGTTCGGCGCATCCTGGCCCGAGATTGGCTTCGCGTCATTGGGCTACCTGATGCCGGAACAGGCCCTCGAGGACTTTGCAGGGCTGGCGCAATGTGTGGCGGAGCAGCTGCCCACGGGAATGGATCGACAAAGGGCGCTGCCGACCATCGCCGTCGGATCGTCATACTCTGGTAAATGTTGATGTCATTCATACTCTGTCCGTGTGTCGTCGGTTGTGACCTGCTGTCTGTGGGTATGTGTGTGCAGGGATGCTGAGTGCGTGGATGCGGTCTAAGTACCCGTCTGTGGTCGACATGGCCGTCTCATCGTCAGCGCCCGTCATTCAGGGCCAGCACAGGTCAGGTGAGCAACGTATACGAACTCACAGACAGACGCAGACACACCAAAGTACAATAAATAACCTTTCCTTCCATTGGTCGGTTGATCGATCAGGCGTGGCTTCAGCCGTGTGGTGACAGACGACCTGCAGCAGGCGGGGTGTGCCCTGGAGGTCAAGAAGGTCTTCCACCTGCTGGCGCTCACCTACGCCCACCCCTCCACATACCTCCCACATCTAAAGCGGTCGTTGGACCTCTGCCCCCCCTCGCACCCACCCAGACGCCCCAATGCAACCGAGGATGTGCTCGGCATCACCGTGTGGCTGGTGTCGTCGATGGACACCATCGCCCAGTATGACATCCCTTATCGACTGGGCAGCCTCGCAGCCCATCCACTCAAGCACTTCTGCGCGGAGCTCCGGGCGAACCGCACTGCCTTCGCTTTTGAGCTGCCCGTCCCCACCGCTGACACAAAGACACAGTTGAGAGGAGGGCGAGTGCCGGTTGACACTTACGAGTCGGTGTTCCGGTCGGTCAAGGGTGCGCTCAACTCGACGCTCTCCCTCACCGACCGGCCCGGCGCGTGTCTACCTCTCGAGAATAACCTGACGAGCGAGGGGCTGCCCTTGGGGGATCGGGTGTCGTGGAACTACCTCTGCTGCACCGTCTTCGGCGACTCGTGCACAGACGAGATCTTCTTCACAGACGGCTTCGACTTCGCCTCTGTGAAGACCGACCGGTGGGCAGAGGAGGAATGGAGGGCGCCGGGCGTGTTGCCCAACCTGGAGCAGCTGATCGGCCGGGAGGAGCGTGCCAACTGCGAGGCAATGTATGGTGTCAAGCCTGACGACCGGTGGGTGGCGCGGTACACGGGGTACCGGTACGACACCTGCGACAAGGTGGTCTTCACCAACGGGCTGGTGGACCCTCTCAGCGGCGAGTCGATCCTCGAAGCGCCGTCCAAGACATGCCCAGTATGCCTGGCCCGTGGATGTGTCTCAAACGCCCCTTATGTGGCTTCTCTCTCCCTGTCACGCTCACTAGGTACTGAACATTGCTGGCGGCGCCCATGCGCTGGATCTGGGTTTCATTCGTGACGACGACCCGCCGTCCCTTAAGCGCGCCAGGCGACAGGTCATCAAGCAGCTGGATGAGTGGCTGACCGGCATGGGGCGGGGGGAGGAGCAGGAGCAGAACACCAACGCCACAGCAGCAAACCTGACCGGTGAGTGAGAGCAAAGAGAGGAGAGATTGGCCAAACAGCCTCTCGCATGTGTGTGTGTGTGTGTGTCTTGTGTGTGTGTGTTGCAGCCAAGGCGATGGTGGAAAGGATACTCCATCAGTGCGGAACCGACTCGCCCTCTTTCAAGATGACCCGCGCCAAGCTCCTCAAGACCGACCTCGACCTGCCCGACGTGGGGGAGGCCGGCGGCTCAATGTCCGTCGCGGGCGTCATCTGGCAGGTGATCTTCTACCTCGTGCTCATCGCTATCGGCATGGCTATCGGTACGTCCGCACACACACTGGTGACCAGTGCGACGTCGTGAGCTCCGTGCTGCTTACCTTTACCTTCACCTTTCCTGCAGGTGCCTACTACAGCGCGCCTTTGCGTCGGTGTGTCCGTTGGCGGCCCGGCTGCCCCCGCACACAGCCGATGGAGGTGGTGCTGGGACCCGCCGCATTCACTAACGGCACACGAGTACTCATGAAAGATAGCCACCCAAACACACCCACAGCTGCCCATCAATTCTGTGCTGTTGTTTTGTCAAACAGGTCCCTGGCAGCCGCGCCGCCCCATTGCTGAGTGACGACTTCATGGAGCTGCACCAGATGGGCCCACGCGAGAGCCATGCGGACGAAGACGAGGACCATCCACAAGAAGACAACAGCACCAACCACCACTACCACAACGATCGGCCGGCACAACAGCTGCTGCGGCCGGCCAAGAATGACGAGAGGGAACGGCAAAGAGAGAGGGAGCGGGAGAGGGAGAGGGGGAGGGAGCGGGAGAGGGAGAGGGAGAAGGAGCGAGGGCGGCAGAGGGGCAAAAAGGGGGCAGATGAGGTGGAGCTACAACCGATAGTTGAGCAGGGTGATGGATGAAATGAGAGAGAAGACTGGATGATGGATGGCTCACCGGCCTATAATATCGATGAGATGAGCGATGGGTGTAGAGAACGGCATGTTTGTGAATTGGTGTGTTTATGCGAACTTACTTAGTGTGTGGGACAGATGAGACACCGTGTGCATCTTCCTTTACATCGTGAGGCAGACCCGCATCACCTTCATTTTCAGATCGCAAACCTCGCCGTCTCCGAGTCGCTCTCACTCCCCCTCTGAAAATGGCGGGTGAGGGGGCCTTCACAAGCATCAACCAATTCCACATTCTGAAGCAGCTCCACCGGAGCCCGACAGGCGCCGTCTACCTCGCGAGGGCCAGGAGCTCTGGCCAAGGCAAAGTGGTCGGTTCTCAATGACCATCTATCTCTTGTTTCTCTCCGCCTGCATCAGGCTGTGTGTGTGTGACATGCAGGTGCTGAAGCATCGCACTGCTCCTGAGCTCGGCAATAGTGGGGATTTTCTCAACGAGTACCGCCTTCTGAAGGGCTTCTCACACCCAAATATCATCAAGTGCTACGGTATGCGTACGCACCACCTCCTGAAGGACACCACCCACACACACGGCGTTGTACGTCTGTCTGCAGGGTACTTCTATGGTCACGATGGCAGCGCCAGTGCCGGCCAGCAGAGAGGGGGGTTGTATGTGGTGCTGGAGTACGCGGACAGGGGAGATCTGGCGACTGAGATACACAGGAGGAAGCAGCGCAACTGGTATTGCACAAAGAAACGTCGGCAGCCCATGGCATGGAGATGGCTCTCTCTTGTGTGTGTGTATGTGTGTGTGTGTGTGTGTGTGTCCACTGCAGTCCCTTCAGCCACGGTGAGGTGTGGGACACGTTCATGCAGGTACTGAGTGGGGTTAAGTACCTGCACAAGCAAGGTGAGACCGACCGACACATAGAGCACCAACACGCTACGCTGATCAGTCAGACAGCCCAGACTGCCTGTATGTTTTACACTGTGCAGCATGCGTCCATCGCGACCTCAAGCCGCTGAACGTCTTCCTCACAAGTGACGGCCTTGTCAAGGTCAGTCGACCGTGTCAGTCATACGAATTAAAGAGAATTGCTCGTTCGCCCGCCATGTCTCAGGTCGGCGATTTGGGTGTGGGTCGGCGCCTCTCCGATGAGACACTGATGCTGCAGTCGTTCTACGGCACCCCACGCTATCTCTCACCAGAGATGATCCAAGGAAGGTCAGCCAAGGTAGGTAGGCAGCCCGCAGCAGGGAGAGACGGGGCGGGTATCTTCTCTCTCTCTCCCTCTCTCTCTCCTGGTCCTTGCGCGTCCGTCTGTCTTCAGGCCGTACACGGCGTCGACTGACATGTGGTCGCTCGGGGTTGTTCTCTACGAGCTGCTCACGCTCAAGTAAGCAATGCTGTCATCTCTCGTTCATCCCGGGCTGACTGACTCCCTACTCCCTCGTGTGTCGACGTTCATCAGCCCTCCATTCCGCGGGCAGAGCCTACAGGCCGTCACCAATGAAATTATCTTGGTCCGACCGCAAAAACCGACCACACATGTATGCGGATTGCTGTGTCTCTCTTTCTCTCTGTCTGTCCGTCAGGGTCGATGGGCCCCTCTCCCGCCCGAGTGTGCGGACACCCTCTTCGACAGCACGATTCGGGGGCTGCTGCAGTCCGACCCTGACAGGCGACCGACAGCAGGTGCGTGTGCAGGTGGAGACATGCGCTGTCGATCTGTGTCTCCCCTCCCTCTTTGTGCAGATGTGCTGTTCAGGCGTTTGTCAGACACACTCATGAAGACCCGCCGTCAAGCGTCTGCAGATCCCTACGTGTCTCGGTCCAAACCTTCGCCACCCCTCGCCGAAATCGATGACAAGCCCGCGGCTGATGCCTCACCAAAGTGCAGAGACCAAGCCGTTCAGTGCAAGCCGACCGACATTGCCAATCGAGACGACATGTGCACACCGCTAGAGACATTGGAACGTCCTGCCATCATTCCCCTCTCCCCTCCCCGCTCGCCAACTGCTGCAGGATGCCCCTCTCTTCGGTCACCGACATCGCACCATAACTCTCCCCTTCTATCGGCTGAAAGCCCGTGCTCACCTTGCTCACCACTACCCGCTCGGCCCTCAGCCGATGCTGCCGGGGGCCTGAAGGTCATCCGTGTGCGCAGGAAACAGGACCGGGGCGAGATGAGGGTGACTAATGGTGACGAGACGGTGCGGGATGTGTGCAGAGGATGCTGAGGGGAGGGGGGCGGTTGTGTCGAAAGCCCGAGAGGGAAGGATGTGAGTGGATGGACGTGTTTGACAGATGAGGTGTGATGTGTGTATTGACAAGACACGAAATGTCCACACGTATGCAACAGCAGCAACCGTCATGCAGACAGGCTCATTATTGTCTATCGTCGGACGAGTGCATGAGCGCTGTCCGCCCTATCGCCTCGCCGGCGATCCACCCCGTCGTCCATGCACTCTGCAAGTTGTAGCCGCCTGTGATGCCGTCCACATCCACAAACTCACCTGCAAAGTACAGCTGAACACACACGCGACAGACGACACACCAACACGTCCATCCATCCATCCATCCATAGTGTGTAGTGCTTGGCTTTGTACATTCGGCAGTATTTTGCTCTCCATGGTCTTCCAGTTGATGTCGCGGCACCTGATGCCGCCACTGGTAGTGAACTCTTCTTTGAATGCGCCCTTGCCGACCACTCTCATCCGATGAGCCACCAGCCGCTCAGCCAACCTGCACCCACAGAGACATGCTGTGTGTTCGTGCGGGGCGTGAAGGGGCTCTTCCACCATACTTACCCTCTGAGCTTCGCTTTGGACACATCAGCCCATCGCATGGTCGGGGGGATGTCGCTCACTTCAAGCAGCACTCGCCACAGACGGCGGGGGATCGGCACCTGGGAAGGCACACACACCTTTCACCTTTCGACTCGGTCAGGCACCTGCGTGTCTTTTGTCGGCTTACATTCTGCAGAGGGCAGAAAGTGCCCAGTGCCTTCATGGTCAGCTCATCCTTTGCGACCATAAGTTGCGGCAGCACCTGGTCTCCACTCTTGAAGGCCCCCCCGGTCCAGTTAATGGTCACTGCACACTCATAGGCCGACTGCACACACAGCAGTGCCACCGGTTCATCTCGGCTTGACATGGACGGCCTTCGCGCACCTCACCTCATGCAAATGCCTCGCGGCGAAGGCTGACAGTCTCAGCGTGACAGGCCCGGAGAGCCCAGGTCCTTGTGTGATGAGCATCGGCCCTTCGTCGACCAACTTCACACTGCCCCCACCACTCTTCCCCCTTCTTCCACCACCCTCTCTGTGCGACACAACGTCAAGTCGCATTCGCACGCTCTGTATCCAAAGATAAGACATGCACGCACGCCGTACCATCCTCCCTCCCTCACTCACTGCACCTGCATCGAAATCCCTGCGCACTGCTCCAGCAGGGACGTCTCGGCGTCGTCCTTGGCCAGCCTCAGCGTGAAGAGCGAGGGCACAGGTGGGATCACATGATGCCCGAGACCCTCAACGACCGACCAGAGCGGCCGCGACGAGCCGCATGCGACCAGCAGGGACGACGGCGCCACTTGCAGATCTGAGGAGGACGAGCGCTTGACCGCTATGGACCACTGGCCGTCCTCCTCAGATCTCTCCATGTTGGTGACCTTGTGCTTGGTGTAGAGCTCCACTTTCTGCTGCCGGGCGGCTGACAGCCTGAATGACACGCAGTAGGCACACCACAGGCAGGCACTTCTGCATGAGGGGGTGGTAAGGTATGGCGTGGCGTTGCTTACAGGCAGCTGATGATTGTCTCCGACTTGTCAGTGGTCGGAAACACACGGCCATCGGCTTCGGTCTTCAGTGACACACCCCTGAGGCCACACCCACCCATGCGCAACCATTAAGGAAGGAGAGCAACGGGCATATCCCCCCCCCCCCC